ATGATCAAAACATCAAATCAGATAAGAGGAACTGCAACTGCAACTCAACATCACAGAGAAGGTCGCATTTAAAGGTTTAAAAGCACAAACTTAAAATTCACGCGATTGACAAATAGTCTCACAGGCACATTAAACTTTAGTGAAAATGCAGCACTATCCTGATTGGGCCAGTAATGATCCTGTCTACTGTCCCAAGCGTCTCTCACGCTGACCCTGGGCCATCGGGCAGTCCTCATTGTTGAGCCCTGCTTCAGTAAAGATCTTGAAGGAACCCATGGCAAAATATTCTTCTGTGCTCTGACATCATGTATTCACCACTTGCACATTGTAATTTAGTTTATATTTTCTTGGAATAGTTTGTGTTGAGGATAGTCAGTGTTAACTAACGTGTAACAGCATTTGATTTTGTGTGTGTGTAAACTAAGATTTATACCAGAAAATATAAATCGATTGTTATTTTGGAAAGGTATTAAAATTTGCTGTTAGTCTACTCACCCCTTTGTTTAAAAACATTAAAATTTTGTGATTTATAAAACAACAACTGTCAATGGTTACTGCAAAAATTATATAGACAAAACAAAGTGAACACCCATGGTTCCTGACCTGTGGAACTATACAAAACGGTCAGTCAATGCAAAAAACTGAATTATTTAAAAAATCATAACGTGAGCTTCCTCACATGGAGACATATGTCACATGGGAGTTGATGCTATCATTATTATGCCTTTGTTTATGTTACTATTCAACAGAAAGCTAAGTAACTTTTCCCTTAATGTAAAAAACTGAGCAAGGAAAGATTCAAGTAAAATCTTGGAATTGTGACAACTAACCTTTCATAATGAAAATGTTAAATGACTGACTGTAATATTAACTAAAAAGAAAGAAAACTACTGTACATTTTTTCTTGAAAATGTTGCGTCAGTTATGTGAGCTGTGTAGTTCTTACTTGTATGTCAGACAATTTTTTTTTTTTTTTTTGCATTTTTAGGATATATATGTACCTAAATAAAAATGTATGTAAAAAATATTATATCATTAGGCTGAAGAAATAATCACAGGCACACAATAAAAAACACAACCACAGACACTGGTCAAAGTTATTATTGTAGAATACTTTGATTAGATTTTTTTTTATACAGACAAAAAGTGTTGATTTATTTTCCCATTAAATTCTTAGATTTCCATACAGTTTAGTCTACAGTATACAGCTGTGTTCTTTCATCATAGATAGATACTTTTTTTCTCTTAAGTAACAGGCAGGTAATTATTAATATATTTAATAGTTTCTTTTTTTCTCTTTTTTGTCTTTTTTTCATTGTAGAGCAGTAAGTGTATGTTCAGGAGAATGTGCAACTGTTTTTTCCATCAGCTAAAAGAGCACTGATGGAAAAAGACAATAATAATAATCATAATTATAATAATAGTCATAATAATAATAATGTACAAGCTGTTCAATTTATATTCTTTACAAAAAAGCAAAAAGAGAAAGAAAGAGGAAGAGACAATAGAGTAAAACAAACAAAAATGTGCTTAAATCGTAAACAAAAAATGCACATGTGCACATTTTGCCAAAATGTACAGTGATGGTGCAGTTGTACAATAATTTATAACTTTTATATTAAATATAGTATATTATTTACTCTTTTTCACATTACATTTTTTCACCTTACCTTGCGTGATTTTTTTTCTACAACAGAATGGAACAAAATGAAGGCAGACGATGGAGTTTTGGATTATCTGTTTTCTTTTTTTAATATATATATTTATATATATGCGCATATATATTTGTCACTCTATCAGGAGTCTTAATAAAGTGGCTGTTTGTTGTGGTGGAGAGGAGGGATACCATACATATGCCACTGTAATATATAAATATCATCACTGTCTGGAGATGATTGGGGTATACGTCTTAGATATAGTTAGATTTTTAAAAATAATAAAAAATTCAAAGACGAGCTTAGCTTGAGGCCTATTTTGGTAGTTAAGCTTTGCTGAGGATAAGATAAGGTTAGGAGATGTTTCTTTATCATGGTTTAGCAAGTAAACTGAGCTATCCTCCCTGACCACCACTTTGGCCTGCTGATTGTGTTTAGGCCTTCAAATGGGTTCAGCCTGTGAGACCTGCCAGCGCTCTCCATATTAGAGACTCCACTGGAACTGTCTGAAACTGATTGAACCTACTGAAAGGTCGCACACATTCATGCAGATACAGCACACATGTGCTTTAAGGAATTTTCTGGGTTCACAAATTAAGCATTTGGGGCAGAATTCAGAAAAAGTGACAGAGATGTTTTCTTTAGAAAAGAAAAAGAGCAAAAATCAAGGTTACAGCATTCTGGTTCGCATTACAGAGTTGATATTTTAGAAATGTTGATAAATGTGGTATAAATTGCAGACTATTTCTATAAACCAAAATTATGCAGTTAAATCGTAAATTAATTTGTTTTCCTTCTTCTAAGTCATTCTAAAAATAATGGTAACATATGTTGGTAGGTTTAAGTATATCCCTGCTATATTTCATGAAAGGAGACGCTAGCATGATATCCAAGCAATAATGTCCGCTCTTACTAGCTAGCCAGTGTTACACTCATCCTCTTACATCTCACTATTTGGTTCACAACACCAGCCTGCAGGCACAGGACATCAACATGACGTCATATTGACGTTGTGTCCCAACGTACCCCAATGTCGTGGGGATGTTGAATTTTGTTCGGAAATGAAAATCGGTTTGACTTCAAAAAAAATTTCAGGCCGACATCAGTGTTCAATGTCCAACCTAAAATCAACCAAATATCAACGTCTAAGCATGTTACACCTTGACGTTGTGTGGATTACCACTATGTCATAAATCAGAAAATGTATTTTGGTCACTTTCCAACACAACCTAAAATCAACCAAATATCAACGTAATTTTTTGACATTGTTATTGGACGTCAAAATAACGTAGTCCCTGGACACAGGCTAGACATTGAATTTTGGTGACCTGATGTCATGACCCAATTTTACCCTAATATTAACATCTTATGATGTGTGTCTGCTGGACAGAGTAACCCCCATTATGTTGCCACCCATACTGTCAGTCACTATTGCATGTCTTGAGGCCAGAGAATTGATTTTTATCAACATCACTCTTTCTAGCTAGCCTCAGATATACTCATTCCATACTTCTACTTTAACTGGTTCTACTTGCTTAACTTTGAATGGGACGAGGACAAATGTTTCCTGCATGAGAGGCGAGCATAGGGACACTAAAGACTGTCAAAGTGTAAAGTGCTATTGAAAAAGTGATTATTCTTGTATTTCTGAATTCAATTTCAGTCACACTGTATCCTTAAGTTTTTGCTCTTTTTAAGAAAAGGAAGGTCCAAACCCAGAATATTCCTCTGAAAAATGGGTTTCCGCTTAAAGATTCAACGACAAAATGTTCTGGCCGAAGAATGAGTCAACCCATTTTAAGCAGTGTGTCTGTTGGCATTTAACGATTAGTCATACTGGCAGTGCGACACTGCTCCACCTCCGGGCTCCACGCCACAAACAGGGCAGAGTATCAGGAGGAGAACATCAGCATGGACAACAGCACATTAATGACAGCACAGATGTGCTGGGAGGAGAATCATGTGTCCACCAACTGCTTAAGAGCCACACTGAAGCATCGACAGACAAAAGTGAAGTCAAACAATGACAGTGAAGGGCGAACGCTATGATATCAACATGCTCCGCAAAGACACAACCGACCAATGCAATGACATGATCTAGTGACGCTCATGCTTGCATTGTCTGCTTTCAATATTCGCCAGTTTCTCTGAACTGGACAATCTAGAAAAGTATTCTATACAGATAAAGGTTTTCTTTTTTTTTTTTTTCTCGAGATCCATATGTACATGTTGTGAAGCGTATTTCACAGAGCTGTGGGCAGGGCAGTCTGTTGCATAAGTGCCGGTCTCATTCCCTAAAATGATTGTATTACATTACAATGCTTCGACTGTAGCGGTATGATCATAACGGTACCATTCCATACGATAATGGGGTGTAAAAGGAGGTATCCCCGGATGGTACGGCTGATCAATGGACATCAATGGAATGTAACTGAATCAAACACTCTATCATGCATGCCTTTATGTATATAATAGAGATTATTGTTCTGTGCAAACATATTGGGAAATGCTAACAAATGGACCAATAGCCAAACAGTGTGCCTATCGAAGTCCATGGCGAAGGTTTGCTCAGTGGACCCAGACATTGTGCAAAAGTAATGATACCCTCATGGATTGTCCATCGTTAGTATCTTTGATATTTAACTATGGTATGGCAGTATAAGATGGATTCCCCTACCCTGGTGGCCACAGTCCATAGATATTCACAATCTAATAAATGTATACCACACGCATGAGGAAAGCAAGTGTGAGTGCGAATGCGTTTAAAGGGCCAGCAGGTATGCATGTACTGAGCGAACAGAATTATTCATGTTTAAAGGGTTAATGCATTTGTTGGTGTCATTTGCACAACATGAATTTTTAATGGCTTGAATGCGAAAGAAATATATAAGACACCATTAAATGTTGAGTCTGGGCAAACCCACTGAAATCCTTACAAATCTGACTACTTTGAACTAGGTAAGACATATTAACAAGGCCATTTTGTCGTAAGGCTGATTGCCAATGCTAAGATCGGAAACCACCTACAATCCCATGCATGACCATAACATCTCTGCGATGGGGTTGCCCAAATCCTTTACCCTGTTTTATATTTTAAACATAAACATTGTGTGAATGTTTAAAATATGAGCATGATTCCCATCTTAAAATAAAAAAAGCTTACACTCGTTTAGAGTAAAGCTACAAATCGCCCGTTAAATAATCAAATATTTTACACAAAATTTCTGTCAAACAATGTGTTGCAGCAATATTTTTGCCTTTTTGTTATCAGCAGACGCATTATAATCGAGTTAGCCTAAGCTTCAAATTAATATTCTCTTTGCTTTGTTAGTACTTTTTTTTCTAGCTTGTTATGCTTTTAAGACAGATACAACACACACACACACACAGACACTTAGAGAGAGAAACAGACATTGAAAAATAAAAGTTGGTGATCACAATAAATAAATGAGCACATAAATAAATAAATAAACAAACATGTTTTAAAGCTAATCCATAAAGCATTACTCATAGTAATAAAAGTAGTAATCTGTGATATCGTAATGAAATCCGAGCACTCATGATGAAGGTGGCTATAGTAGAAGTCAAAAATGATAGTAATCATAATATCGAGTTCAGTAACACCGATAAAAGTAAAGTGAATGGACCCCTACTCCACACGTAGGGAACGAATAACTTTGCATTCGGAGAAGTCAAAAGTCACCAGCACTAAAATCCATCAGATCTGGATCCCTCACCTACTCAGGTCCGTCCAAAGGAACCACAGACACACAGCAGACTGACCTCCTCTCCACACGGTGAGAAGAGAGGTGTCTGTGGGGCTGTTGTCGAGACAAGAGGAGTGATAGTGCTTCCGGTGGATGGTGGTGGTAGTGGGCAGATGATTGTAATGAGATGACCCTGTCATAGTGTTGGGGGTCAACCACCTAAAATATGTCCTTAGGAGCCTCCCCCATCAGCCTGATCCACACAGATCCTCAAAGTTTTTAGGGTCTCGTCCCTCAGTCATAGTGAGGTCTCCAGGGCGAGGAGGGGATTCAGCTTTTGGGGCGGGGATGTCCAGTGGCCTTCGGGGCCTGTGGGGAGGTTCAGGTGGTAGACGGTGCTCTCGATGGCGTTGTTGTTTCGGTTTGGTGTGGCAGGGAGGCTGTACTGGCGGTAGGGACGGGGCGGAGGGCGGGAGCGCTGCGGTTGCTGGACTGGAGGAGGAGGGGGCTTTCGGAAGGCCGGATGCAACTGGTGGTTGTGCCTTGACCACTCTGATTCTTCGTCAATGTCGGTGTCGTCGATCAGCGGGATGTTGTGAATGTAGTCGTTGATGAGAAACTCAGGGTGCGCCATGAAGTTGTGGATGGAATTCCGGGACGCGGGTTTCTCGATTCCGTCATAAAGGGAGCTACGGAACGCTTTCACTACCCGCATCTGCACAAGGACAGAGGGGGGACGAGTACACAGAAAGAAAACAGAGTGAGGACAAAGAGAGAGGGTTGAGATAGAGGAGGGAGGAGCAAAGAAATCTCTCAGTACATGTGTGATAGAAAACACCCGCAACATCGTTGACCCTGTTCTGGACATGCCTTACAATGCACAGACAGCTCAAGATCAGGTTGCTTCAAGATACACACTCAAGAAGTTTGTTAGCTGTTTTGAGTAGCTAGTATTTCATGGGCAATGTTTCATTTTTAGTGGCACCAATTAGAACTGCAAAGAATAGGAATTTCTTGGGTCAGCACTGGGAACTTTTGTATCACTCAATTTGCTGTTTTAAACCAAAAGTATGCTTTAGTTTTAGGCTTTAAAGGAATATTTCAAGCAAATCTGAAAAAATATGTTATCATTTACTCACCCTTGTTCAAAACCTGATTGAGTTTCTTTCATCTATTGAATCAGTAAGAGCACATCACACCTGTCCTCAGGTCTTTACACTGGCGTTTACATTCAGAATAGATTTTAAAGTATTATTACTTGTCTATAAACAACTAAATGGCCTAGGACCTCAATACATACCAGATATGCTCACTGAATACAAACTTAACAGATCACCAAGATATTTAATATAAACTTTAGAAATGCCAAGGGTTCAGTCAAAGCAGGGTCAATCTGCCCCCGCAGAGGGAATCAGCTTTCAGAAATGATCAGACGTGCTCAAACATTAGGCATGTTTAAATCAAAACTGAAAACACATCTGTTTAGCTGTGCTACATCCGGCAGACTACACTATTATGTTTTTATTTTCTTTTTCATTCATTTATAACCAGTTTTAACAATTTTAATCTGTTTTTAATCACTTTTATTATTTTCTTATACTTGTCACTTTTATTCCTGTCTATGTAAAGCACTTTGACATGCTGTGTATGAAATGTGCAATATAAATAAACTTGCCTTGCTGTGAACACAACATGATATTTAAAAGAAAGCTTAAAACCTGTAACCATTGACTTTCTTGGTATCTTGTTTTTTTCTACACCATGGATGTCATACAGGCTAACAGGTTTCCAGCATTCTTCAAAATGTCTTCCTTTGTGTTCAGCAGATGAAAGAAACTCAGCAGGTTTGAAACAAGTGAAGAGTAAATAGTGAGTACATTTTCATTTTTGGTTGAACTATCCCTCTAATGACCTAACAAGTTAAGGCTTTATGAGTAATTGAATTGTTCATTCAAAAATACTGATTCATTCAAGAGTGAAAATTGTATGGTGTCATAATGCCAAGTAGATTAATTTTACATTTGCATTTAGTGAATTGTTGAATAAGAGGAACACCATACTTGCAACCATTCTGTTGATTGCTGGTTTGGATATTTTTTGTAATGAAAATTGCTTATTAATCTGAGATTTTTAGATAAGTAATAATATACTAGTTAGTTACTAATACTAGAATTTAGTTTCATCTGTGCTTCATCCAATGCACCAGTGCTGCTTAAGTCAACACAAGCCTTTAAATTAAAGCTGTGCAACCAGATCTTAAGAGTTTCTCAAAGAAAGACAGATGACAAACCAAATGAAATTAAATCGTAGACACAATAAATGAACTCAAGCAGTCAGTTCACAGTTATCACTCAAAAATAAAGGTAATGGACATTCTCATATGCTCAAAACAGACCAGGCCTTAATCAAATAAATGAATGGAAGTACAAAACAAAACTCAAATAAAAGGCCAACACAAAACATACAGTATGCTATGTGTGTATATTGACACATCGGTGTGAAAACTAAAAAGTTGTGACAAGCAAAGAAAGAGAAGCATGTCTTGATACACACATAGACACACAGGCAATTGAAGAAACAGTGGGTAATAATCTGCAACACAGCGCTAAGCAAAGCGGACATGACTCAGGACGTATCCACAGTCATGCACTACACTTTACTCAGTTTTGGAGGAGCTTGGATTTACTCCTCATTGCATTCAGATGTGTGGTAACAATGAAGCAACGTGGTTGTGATGTCATTGACAGAAGCCATGGAGACAACATGCATACATGAAGCAATCAGTCGATGTCGGTTAATGCCAATGAGTGAAAATAGGTCATAAATTGTAAAGGTATACTGTAGCTGAGGTGTGTTAATTATTGGTAGATCTATATTATAAATCTATGGTTTTATCAGGCTTATCATTTTAAACATTATTTAAAAAAGTTCTTTACTGGCATCATTGGTAACCTGAACTACCTTTACCATCCATGGAACGTTTGACCTTCTTTACAGTTGAATATATTTTTTTTAGATTATACACACTTAACACAATACATTTTATGTTCTTTTGGGGCATAACTTTATTTTTAAGAGTGTTTTTCCCTACTGTCTATTTAAATGGATTGGAAATTCCAAAAAATGTATAATAAGAGTATTGAACATGTAGTGTTTGCTCAATTATGGGCGCTTCCCGCTTTGTTTAAAATGAATTATCACTATTTCAACTAGTTAAAGGTGCAATAGGTCAGGGGTTCCCAAACTTTTCAGCCTGGCAACCCCCAATATCCTCTAAGGTGGTTCTAATTATACAAACCTTGCACGCAACAGTGCACAGACCAATAGGCCCAAGTCTATTCTTCGTTTAATTTTGGAAAACGCCACTCAGAGACCATCCTCCATGTTCAGTTGTGGCATGAATGTATTTTTAATCTGCGTGAGTGCTGTAAAGGTGTCAAAGTTTAACCTGGTACCATGAAATCAGTCTGCTTTATCTGACCCTATTGCAATAGGTGCATCCCAAACCGCATACTTATGCACTATTCTACACCATCTTGTAGTATAAATAGTGTAAGCAGTGTGTTCACATTCAAAACTCTGAAAATAGTAAGTGCACTTTAATTACCTGGATGATGCACTATTTAACCGGTAAAATGAAGTGTGGAATGATGAATACACACACTAAACGACCACAGCTTGCTCATGTATTGCAAAAGCAAAATTCTCCTACGAGAGTAATTATACCGCCTCCTGATGGTGAATGCGGTTATACTCATGGCAGGTATTATGTGGTACTTTGGTCATATATTTCACTAAATTGGCAACCAGCAAACGTCGCCAGGGAAACGGGTTGAATTTCCGCTTAGTAAAAAAACGGGTTGCAATCCAATGGAAAAAAAAAGCATGCTGTTTTTCTTTATGTAATTATTAACTACTATTTTTATCTTCTGTTGGTTATGGATAAAATATGGTAATGTACAGGACAGTAAAGAGTATTATCAGGAAAGTGTGGGGAGCAGAGAGAGGGGAAGGATGGGCATAGGACCTCGAGGTGGGAATAGAACTCAGATCGCCATGAGCACCGGGTGCATATGTTGATGCACTAACCACTACATCATTGACGAAGACATATTTACATTTTTTTTAATAATCTGTGGATGATGTAGGACCAAGAAAGGATTGATCAATCCATAAGTTTGGTCCGAACATTACGAAAGTCTGTCCTGCCAGTCAAAACACATGAAACATGTTAAAATACTATGTTTTTCACTAGTGAATATTGTGTGAAGTACTGTAGTGTTTGTAGTGTAGTTTATTATTGTAGTGCACATTCATGCGTTCAGGAGTGGTGGCTTTGGATGCTGACTTGAAGGGTGGGATGTAGGCTTTCAGTGCTATCAGGCTAACATTAGCATTTCCTATTGCACCTTTAACTACAGCATGTTGTTGAAAAATGTCCAAGAGTGGACAGATACAAGAAAACTATAAAAAATTGATTTAATTTATTTTTAAAAACATGGACGCATCCACCACATTTCCAATTTGTTTCATATGACATCATTCAAGTTATAGGTAACACTTTATTTTGATGGTGCATTTGAGTATTATATTGTCTGCTTAATATGTGCTGATACCTTTAACAGCGATTTAACTGACGATAAGAAACTTTGCAAGTACATCAACTTACACTAACCCCAACCTAACAGTCTACTTATAATCTAATGAGCATTAGTTGGCATGTAGATGCAATGTAAGTTAAATTTAACAAAAGGACCATCAAAATAAAGTGTGACCAAATTATATTCTACACATTTATTGTAATAAAATAGCCAGTTCTCTTATTGAGAGCAATTCAGTGCCATTTTTGTATCCGAGCTTTCTAAACTGTAACTAAATGATAGTTTTATATTTCTGAATTATAAATACACTACAATACAAAATTTTAGTTAGTAAAAAAAAATAATTGTTTATTGCTAGTTCATGTTACCTGAGGTACCAAACATTCAGCTTTACTGCATTTACCCAACAGATTTCTCCAAAGTATTTCAACTGAAAATAACAATAATAATAATAATAATAATAATAATAATAATAATAATAATAATAATAATAATAATTTGCTGGATGGTATAGTTTGAAAGGTTTTTGTTTTCCTTTTAATGTGACCTTCATTAATTTATAAAACTTTTGAAACCTTCTGGTTTTTAATTAAAAATCACCTCATAAATGAAGAAACACCCCCACACGAATGATCTGCAGATGTAGGCTTATTCTAGTATGACAGATCACTCCGCAGTTGTTCAGATTACATTGACTGCCAGAGGAGAAGTTATCAAATTTCCAGACACATCATCTAGACGGATGATGATGACTTCTCTGACTATAGGCACTTCCTGGCACTGAGCCATTGATTACATGACACCGAGCGGCGTGACAGAAGACCTTAACAGCCGCTATCACACCGACAGGAACAGAGCAGGCACAATAAACAAGGTCACAGCATCTCTGCTTTCTGCAAAAGTCACCTTATCAGCACAAATGGATCACACCTTGGTACAGTATCATAGGCCCGGAATTAAATTTGGTTTTCTATATCTGGGCATTCTGGATTACCATTCAGATGACAGATTCGTTCGTGGATGTGTGGAAAAGCACATTCAGTGAGAGAGAAAAGAGAGAGAGAGAGAAAGTGCAAGCATTTTTTGGCATGCAGCAGTGCAGATGAAACACAGA